AGCTATTCGAAGATTGTGGGTATTGGAGACATTAGTATTCAAACTAATGTCGGGAACAAGCTGGTTCTTAAAGATGTGAGGCATGTTCCAGATTTGCGCCTCAATCTTATCTCCGGATGCGCCCTGGACCGACAGGGCTATACAAGTACATTCGGAAATGGCCGTTGGAAGCTGACATGAGGAGCTTTGACAATCGCCAGAGGAGAGATATCTTCAACACTGTATATGACTCAAACGAAGATCTGTGTGGAAAGTCTTAATGCAGCAGAAGACAAGGAGTCACCGGACTTATGGCATAGAAGACTGGCTCACATGAGTGAGAATGGATTGCATCTATTGGCAAAGCAATCCAAGATACCCTTATCCAAAGGGAGTGTCTTGAAGCCCTGTGATCATTGTCTTTATGGTAAGCAACATCGAGTATCCTTCAGTTCAACAAGCAAGAGGAAAACAAAAGTGCTCAATATGGTATACTCGGATGTTTGTGGCCCAATCGAAATGGAGTCACATGGCGGCCGCAAGTATTTTCTGACTTTCATTGATGATGCATCAAGGAAGTTGTGGGTGTATTTCCTGAAGACAAATGATGAGGTATTTCAGCACTTTCAGGAGTTCCATGCAATGGTAGAAAAAGAGACTAGGAAGAAGTTGAAGTGTCTTCACACAGACAATGGAGGGGAGTACACTTCCAATGCTTTTGCAGCATACTGTGCTAGCAGAGGTATTCGGCACGAAACAACAGTTCCTGGAACCCCACAACACAATGGTGTGGCAAAAAGGATGAACCGCACTATTATGGAAAATGTCAGATGTATGCTCAAAATGGCAAAGTTGCCAAAGTCATTCTGGGCTGAAGCCGCCCGTATAGCCTGTTATCTCATCAATAGGTCGCCCTTAGTCCCGTTGAATTTTGCGATACCTGAGGAAGTCTAGTCCAGAAGAAATGTATCATATTCTCAATTGAGAGTCTTCGGGTGTAAGGCCTTTACACACATCTCCAAGGAAAACAGACAGAAACTTGATGAAAAATCCACTCCATGCATATTTGTGGGCTATTCAGATGCAGCATTTGGGTACAAGGTGTGGGACCCAGTGAACAAGAAGATGTTCAGAAGAAGAGATGTTGTGTTCCAAGAAGACCAGACAGTAGCAGATTTTGAGAAATCTGCAAAGTCTAGAGATGTCATCACTCCAGACTTGTTTCCACCTCCCGAGCCATCACAAAATGCTATATGTGATAATGTGCAACAAGAAGTGCCAGAGTTGCAGGATCCAATGCCAAAAATTGAGGATCAGGAGGAAAGAGATGAAGACTCGAATGAAGAGGATGTTGAGCAGGGGGAGCAACCCCCTCAACCAGAGGCAACTAGGCCTCAGTTGCGGAGATCTGGAAGAGATGTCGTGCCATCAACCAAATATCCCGCTTCTCAGTATATTTTGATTACTAATGAGGGGGAGTCCGAGAGTTTTTCGGAAACCAAGAGTCATATAGAGAAAGACTGTTGGATGCAAGCCATGAAGGAAGAGATGAGTTCTTTTCAGAAGAACCACACTTATTTGCTTGTTCCACTTCCAAGAGACATGAGAGCCTTGAAGAACAAATAGGTGTATAAGTTGAAGAAAGATGGAAACGGTAAACAATTGCAGCATAAAGCTCGTTTGGTGGTCAAAGGCTTTGGGCAGAAGAAAGAAATTGATTTTGATGAGATCTTCTCCCCAGTTGTGAAGATGACTTCTATTCGAGTAGCTCTGGGATTAGCAGCTCGCTTGAATCTGGAAGTAGAACAAATGGATGTCAAGACTGCCTTTTTCCATGGTGAGTTGAAGGAAGAGATCTACATGGAGCAACCAGAAGGATTTGAAGTTAAAGGAAAACAGAAACTAGTCTGCAAACTGAAGAAGAGTCTCTACGGCGTGAAACAGGCGCTGAGACAATAGTACAAGAAGTTTGATTCATTTATGGTGGATCACGAGTACACAAGAACGGTGGCAGACCAGTGTGTATATTTTCAAAGGTTTTCGGATGGAAACTTCATTGTCCTACTGTTGTATGTCGATGATATGCTGATCATCGGATAGAATACTACTATGATCAACAAGTTGAAAAAGGGCTTGTCGCAGTATTTTGACATGAAGAATTTAGGCCCATCACAACAAATTTTGGGCATGAAGATTGTTCATGACGGGAAAGCCAAGAAGATATAGCTGTCACAGGAGAAATATGTTGAACGGATGATTGAAAGGTTTAACATGAAAGATGCCAAACCAGTCAGCACACCACTGGCCAACCATTTCAATATAACAAAGCGTTCGTGTCCCACGACCAGCTCTGAAAGGAAAGAAATAGAGACAATTCCTTATTCTTCCGCAGTAGAAAGTTTGATGTATGCAATGGTGTGTACCCGGCCAGATATAGCTCATGCAGTTGGTGTTGTGAGCAGATTCTTCGCCAATCTAGGAAAGAAGCATTGGAAGGTCGTCAAATGGATTCTTCAGTACTTGAAGGGAACTTCAAAGATGTGTTTATATTTTGGGGGAGCTGAACCAATTTTGGAGGGTTTTACAGATGCCGATATGGCAAGTGATCTTGATGGTAGAAAGTCTACATCAGGATTTCTGTTCACCTTTGCAGGGGGAGCTATTTCATGGCAGTCCAAACTATAAAAGTGTGTTGCTTTATCTACAACAGAGGCAGAGTACATTGCTGCCGCAGATGCTAGAAAGGAAATGTTGTGGTTAAAGTGGTTTTTCCAAGAATTGGGTCTACAGCAAGAAGAATACAAGGTACATTGTGATAGTCAAAGTGCAATTGATTTGAGCAAGAATTCCATGTACCATTCACGTACAAAACACATTGATGTCCGATATCATTGGATACGAGAAGTGATGGAAAAGCAACTGATGAAGCTAGTGAAGATTCACACAGACAAGAATCCTTCTGACATGATGATCAAGGTTGTCACCAGAGACAAACTGGAGGTTTGCAAGAATCTGACCGGGATGGACTTTAAGTGAGAAGTCGTTTGGGCACATTGGTGAGAATTGTTAGCTCCAGCTCATAAGAATTATCTCCCATGTGATGTGTTGTGCCAGCTTGAAAGGTGAACAACACCTTTAGTAAAGGAACCAAAAGGCAAGTACATAGCTGGCCAAGTGTTGGGCCAGCTGTGCTCTCTACCTTCCTCCAGGTATGGTGTATAAATAAAGAGGTTGAGAGGAGAGTTGTGGGCAGAAAACACAGAGAGAACACCAAGAGTGAGAGTGTATGTGAGTGAGTACTGTAATCTTTCTCCGGATAATATATCGCTCTCCGTGGACGTAAGCAATTGCTGAACCATGTAAATATTCTTGTGTTATTGTGTGGAATTGATTTATGGTGTCCCAGTAGTTTCTAAATTCAGTTTTTAACATAGCAAAACACCTTATTGTTAGACCTAATAATAATGTAAGGCAACCCCAAATACTTTCCCGACTCAACCATTGAACCCACATTCAGCACATCCTGTAGCTCATGATGCAACTCGACCCCCATATTAGCACTAAAACACATAGAGGATTTGTTGAGATTAATCACCTGTCCCGAAGCTAGCTCATAAGCATAAAGGATTTCTTGAACAACCAAGATCTTTGCCACTATGGCACCCCCAAAGAGTAAGCTATCATCGGCAAAAAATAAGTGCAAAATGTTCTGACTCCCTCGAAAAATACCCATACCAAACAACCTCTTATCAACTTCTACCTTTCAAATAAGTGATAATAATCCTTTAGCACATAGAACAAAGAGGTATGGTGACAATGAATCTCCTTGTCGGAGACATCTTCCTAGCCTGAATTGATGAGAAGGAACCCCATTAACTAGCACCAAATAAGATACTAATGTAACACAATACATAATCAAATCCACCATCTACATACACATCTTCATCCGAACCATCATCCCTTTCAAGAAATCCTATTCAATGCGGTTGTAGTCCTTGCTCGTATCTAACTTGAGCTCAAAAAAACCCTTCTTACCCACTCGCTTATTCTTCATAAAGTGAAACAACTCAAAAGCAATGAGCACATTATCACTAATGAGGCAACCCGCAACAAAAGCGCTTTGATTACCTGAGATGAGAGAGGAAATACTATGTTTAGACAATTCACCACAACTTTACCGACCACCTTGTATATCACATTACATAGACTTATTGGTCTAAACTCGAACATCCTATGTGGTTACTTCACCTTAGGAATCAAGACAATGTAAGTATCATTAATACCTGTCAGATCCTCACCATTGTTTAGCACCCCCAAAACAGCACTAGTCACTTGAGCACCCACCACCGACCAAAACCATTAATAAAAAAGAGCATGCTTTCCGTTCAAGCCAGGTGCTTTTGTTGGATGCATCTCCTGAATGGAAAAATGGGCCTCATCTGCGGTGTAATTGCGTGAAAGCATTGAATTAAATTCATCCAAACTCGAGTATCGACTGCATCAAAAACCACATCCATTCATTGGGGGTTAGAGCATCTCCAGAAGCCTCTATATTCCTTTATTTTTGTTACTAGCTAGCTAAAAGCAGAAAATTCATCTCCAGCAGCCTCGCCGGTGGCTAGCTACTTTGATTTTCAACTATAGTACCTCGCCAGGGAAGACGAGGCACTGTTCAGTAGCCTCTCAATTTTTTATTAGTTCCTTTTGAGCACTCCAAACTTTGCTTACCATCGACGATCGACGATCGACAATCGACGCCAGAGGAGGAGGAGGAAGCCAAAGGAGGAGGATTGATGCTAGACAACTCACGATCAATGCCGGAGGAGGAAGGCCAAGCCAGAGGAGGAAAATCAACACCAGAGGAGGACGATCGAGCCGGAGGAGGAGAATCAACGCCGGAGGAGGAGAATCGACGCTAAACGAGTCACGATCGACGGCGGACGAGAACGCAACGAGGACGATCGACGCCGACCTAATCACCATCGCAGACGAATCTCTGGGTCTCTGCCCCTCTGTCTCTCTTCAAACAAAAGTAAATTATATTGAAAACAACACATGAGAGATCAATTAACTAACAATTGATATACCTTTGGAACAATACTCTTTTGCTTTGTCACTATCTGAACCTGCTGAACCGTGCCTCCAGCACCGGTGTTTGGTCTCTGACTCGTAACATTCTCTTTACCATTTCCGAGTCCATTATACTTGTTGACTCCCACTTTGTCATTTGCTTTTGTACCACCAGTCACAGAATCTTGTGCATTGACTCCATGTAGCCTCGTGGCTTTAGAATGCACAACTTTGTTAACCTGAAATTTTTATGCATAATTCAGCTGACTAACCATGATTCTGGACTAAATATGCCAAGTGTTTAGTCTGCTGAATTTATTCAGGATTGAAAACTAAGTAGCAGATTGAAGGTGAATAGATGGATTTCAAACAGAAGTAAATATGCCTAGTTTGGTGTCATTAATCAAAATGTTGCAGCTTCTCACCTTTGATTTTGCAGTTTCCAGGTGGGCTGACTTTGCGGCAGCAATGATTTTACTTCCACATCCAGATTTAAAAGTCAAATCCCGAGTCTTAGCAGTAGATTCCTTGGACATATTTGACTTTCTTACTTTGTCACAATTTGCTTGAGGCGCTCTCATGGCATTTTGATTATTATCAGGTGTTACATCTTTGTTCAGTGATGCACGAAGTGTCGTGTTCTTAACATTATAACCAGGGTGTGAAGAGGAGCCCACACCGGATTTTCCCGAGGAAGATTTACGCCCTTCTAATTTTCTCCCACCAACTACTTCAAATGCATGTTACATGTACGCATAAAATCCAAGAAAATCATACCAAAAATAAAAAAATAAAAAACAAATCCAAGAACAAAGATATTGGACAGGTATATATGCAATTCATAAACATATGCGTGCACAGAAATGTAATACAATTTAAACAGATTCATTAATTTTTTATTTTCGATAACATTACAAACAGAAACAGAGGAGCACAAAATTTAGACCAGCATCTCTAATGGAACTTCTTGCAAAAACCTTCAAAAATACACACACCAACTCAAACATTGTTGGTCACCAAGCTTCTTTTTTTATTGATGTATTTGGCGATGTAAACTTTTTACTGTCTAAATTTATCAATAATTTTTTTTTTACCGATTAAAAAAAAAAAAATTGAACATCTCGCATCCACCATATCGAGGAATGAATCAGCAACGTGGTCACATGCATTACTTAAACACAACTGTCGATGAAACTAAAAATTATCATGTGACAAATCAAACTTATTCAAAAATTTAAAACTCGATGAACATGTATGTTTATATTCATCTTTCATTCATATACTTTTTAAGAGAAATTACCATTCAATGGTAGTTTTAGAAAATTATTACAAATTCCTAAAAGAGATTTAAGACTTTAATTATTCACTGTACTTTTTTGTAAAAACTTACACTGAATTGAAAAACAAACAAAAACATAGATATGGACCTAAGATAAAAGGAGAACCTGAAAGTCGAATCATCCTCTGAAGAAATATCATAAGAAGCGACAAGAAAATCAGCAACAAGAAAATCAGCAATAAGAAATTCTCCATTGCAACAACTACAACAGCGTACTGAATAGCTGTGTGTATGCGAATATATATATATATATATAT